TTGAGGGGCCGAATGTTTAGGTTGTCAGGCATCAGAGGCAAGAAGAGAAAACGAGAAAGCGATGACGGATGCTTTCATCCACAAAAAAACAGACTGCTCAAAGGAGGCGCGATCAAACATGTCACGGAGGAGGAGATAAAATACGACGATGTGAAGCCTCGCAGTTTACGTGAAATTCTGTACCCTGAGCTCGAATCTTGGGGCATAGATCCCGCAGACTGGCCGACATTTGCATTGGAAGAGCTAGAGGCTGAGCAGGAAAAGGAGAGAAAGAAGAAGGAGCAGGAAAAGGAGAGCTTTGGAGACTCTACATCGGACTTGAGCGACACATTGGACAATCTCACAATCTTCGATGGCGACGACACTGTCATGCGTACGCCTTATACGAGTTCTGAGTTTGGTAATGATTCCGAAGTATCTATGATGGAAAGCATTTCGGACTGGGGAGATTTTTACCGTGCAAGAAGACGCGATTCAGACAGCTCAATCACAATTCCTCTTTGCATCGATGTCGACGATGTCGATATGGATGAACTTCCTATTGGTAGCGGACGGGGATTTATACCGCCACAACTGGATCTGGAGCCGGGCTTGACGGGCCAAATGTCGGGATTTCCTCTTGCCGGTCAAGTTCCTGTTGTCCCTGAAGGCGCCACCTTGAAGGAATTATGTTCTCTTCTCGGTCAAGTTCCTGTTGTTCCTGAAGGTTTCATCATGAACGACTTATTTGGTCTTCCCGGTCAGGATCCTTTTATTCCTGGAGATGTCATCCTGGAAGAATCATTTCCTCCTTCCGGTCAAGCTCCTGTTATTCCTGAAGATGTTATCCTGCAGGAAGTGTTCCCTGCTCCCGATCATGCTCCTGTTATTCCTGGAGATGTCATCCTGGAAGAACCGTTCCCTCCTCCTGATAATGCTCCTGCTGTTTCTAAAGATGTTATCCTGAAAGAATCATTTACTCCTTTCCGTCAAGCTTCTCTTTTTCCTGAGGACGTCATCTTGAAAGAATCGTTTCCTGCTCCCGATCATGCTCCCGTTGTTTTTGAGGATGCCATTCTGAAAGACTCGTTTCCTCCTCCCAGTCAAGCTCCTGTTGTTCCTCAAGATATCATCTTGCAAGAAGTATTTCCTCCTCCCGGTTATGCTCCTGCTGCTCCTGAAGGTGTCATTCTACAAGAAGTGTTGATTCCTCCCGGTCAGGCTCCTGTTGTTCCCGAAGATGTCATCCTGCAAGACGTGTTTCCTCTTCCCGTCCAAGCTCCTGCTGCTCCTGAAGGTGTCATCCTACAAGAAGTGTTTCCTCCTCCCGGTCAAGCTTCTATTGTTCCTCAAGATGGCATCCTGAATGAAGTGTTTGGGCAGTGGGTACCATACCGCATGGAGGCGCCTCCGAGATCTGAGTATAGTGTGGAAATGAACGACGATGCAAGTGTTAAAGCAGAGACAGAAGCGAGCTGGGAGACAGCGACGGAAAGGGGAATCGGAGCCGAAAATGAAGCTGCAGCCAAAACAGAAACCGAGTTTAGGCCATATGTGGGAATCAAAGTGGAAGAAACAGGAACAAGAACGGCAGTGAGCAAAGCAAACGTCGGCAAAAGGACTTATGACGAGTTCGAAGAAGCCGAGATAGAAGACGCAGATGC